TTACTTGAAAAAAGTAATCGCATTACAGTAACGCGTTACTGCCCATCTCTGGTTGTAAAACAATTAGCTTGTTCTTTCACTGATGGACGTTTGGGATTTAGAGTGGCATTACAGCAGGAAAAAATGAAATGGTTATGCTAAACCCCATTAGCCAAATGAGTCATCAGTTTTTTGGGATGGTCAATATTTAACTAGAGCTTGGCACGGCCACACACATTTTTTATCTCAGGTGCCAAGCAGCAAAAAGGTGAATTGTTGACAAAACCATGCAGTCTAGGAGAGAGAAAAAAGGTGTGTGTTAGACATATTAAAATTAAGCAACAGTTTCCAAACACAAATAGCCCTGTGGGTCCTTGGGCAATGGTTTTTCATGGGCCCATAAGTAGTAATTATACATGCATACAATACAATACACAAAACACTATAGAAAAGTCCAGTGTCACAAACTGTCACCATGAATATAAATGTGCTACATCTGGGGAGTCCAAACCTTCATCCTAATGCAGAAATCTTAAACTCCTTTTACATCACAGGTCACATACACCCCATTTTTATCTTATGTCTGCACTAGAGGGAGGCGGATTGATCCAAACATTGATGTTGGTATTGGTATTAGACTGATACTTTGTTTCTATCCCCTAAGTTCAGTATGTAGCCAACTGAATTGTGATTTCCCCGAAATATTCTGCCTTAAAAGTATCAGAATTTGTACTGGTGTCTGAAACACTGGCCCTTTATTTACTTGGCATTGGAGCATAACAAAATTTACAGTATTGCACAGCACTAAACTGCACATTTAATCTCTGAATCATTTTAATATAAGATAAAGAAGCACAATTTCAACCATATGTTTCAGTTTTTCTACATGATAAAGAAATGCTGCTGTAGTAAATTAAAGGAATCTGTGAGCATGACTCTTTCGGATTAAATTGTAAGAAGTAAATGTGTAAAATTACAGAAATCTATAACCTAATTATCATCGTGTATATGAATGGTCATAGGGGAGGTCTTTGTCAGTAGGGAAAAGCTTTAAAACTTAAGAAAATACAGTTAAATGTCCCAAATTTCTTTGAAATCAAACACTTCTGGTTGAAGCCACGTTTCTTAGGAAAACGCACAGGCAAACAGACTCATCAAGGACTGGGACATATTCTTGCTCCACATCTTGCAGAAGACTTACAATTAGAGTGCTGTCGACATGCATCTCGATCTAGGGTTGTTCTAATACTTATTAGTATTAGACCCAGATAGAAGTGGTAAAAAAACACACACAGCCCTGAGGGGATCCAATTGAGGATGACTGGACAGGGTTCCAATAGCCTAGACCCACAGGATCTGGTTGTTAAGAGGCCAGTGAGCCAACACTGTGCTAAAATCTATATTCAAATTAAATTAAAGGCTGTGTGCAAGAAGATGTGGCTGAATACAATTAAAACCAAGGGTGAAGTCAATAACGAGTAGATCTATGGTTCTTACATCTCTTATAGTGTCTCAGTACAGGATTTAAGAGTGCAGTCATGTCATCCTCTACAAACTGCAAGGCAGGAATGTCGAACTTACATCGTGGGCCACATGCCGCCCACTTTAGACGTTACACATTCAATCCTATTTGATATAAGAAAAAGACGTGCAACTTCAACGGTGCGTCTCAGTTTTTACTCATGACAAAGAAATACTGCTCTAGCAAATTAGAAAAATCTGTCAACACAAATAAATAAATGTATAAAATTACAGAAAAGGTTCCGGCAGCTCACCGCCCAGGCTAATTCACAAAAAAACATCCCATTCTTTCGCCCCGCTGTGTACTTATTGTAAAAAAACTAAAACAAAAAAAAATAAACAAACCTGAAATATCTAGACTTTTTTTCTTCTTTAGTTGTTATTGTTTATCTTTTATTTAATTATTTTTATATTTCAAAACCAGTGGGCCAGATTTCAGTCTTTGCCAGACTGATTCTGGCCCCCGGGCCT